AAAAAAAAAAAAAAAAAGACATTTGGTAACTGGTATAAGTTAGATAGCCTCATTATAAACATATGAAAATATGACAACCTTTTAGTTCCTAATATCTCAGGAATGTGGTAATCATTTCATAATCCATGGCTTGAGCCATACTCAGGGTCATAAGTTTGCTATTCAGGACACCAACAGGAGACATCAAAATAGCAGAAAAGAGTTTAATAGCAAGTCACAAATGGGAACGCTGAAATTTTCATGAGCTCTGGAAGTTACAGGCTTGAGAATACTTACAGGTAGTCTCCTCTGTACCCCAATTACTTTTATATTAAGTTTACTTAGAAAAGAACTTTATCACATTTAGCATATTTTTCCATTAAAGTTTTTAACATGGCCTACATGTCATGTGTCCATCTATGCTTCATGGAAAGGTTTCTGCATGCTGTTTTCTCTAATACGGTTTTCATCAAACTTTCTTTATGTTGCACAAATACTGGTAATTTTCTCTGGTACTGTGTTACCATTGGAGGTGAGCAGGTAAAGCTGAGGGACAGGGAGAAAGTACATCCAGTTGGGGTAGAAAGGAAGAGAGGAAATAGAGAAGGGAAGAGAAAAATAACAACAACAACAACAACAACACAGGTGGTGAGGAATAGAACAAAAAGGAGATGCCATGCACGGGATTGGTTGAGTGAGGGTCCAAACACCACTGTTCAGCAGCCCCAGACAGTTCTTTACTAGGAAACAGATTTATTTACCCAGAAAATGAAGTAGAATAATATTTGTGTGAGGACTTTCAAATTCACCAAGTTGGTATCAGAAGGCCCAGAATTTAACCAAAATAATTCCAGTTTTAGATAATTTAGGACAGGAAGCCCTTCTTCTCAACCCTACTGCAAGAGACTCCTAAGGGGGTACTTCCACAGGTGGGCTCCCTCCCTTCTAGCTAATGCAAAGACTGAGCTGTCAATTTTCCTAATACACAACTCTGAGGCCTATCGTTTTTTACCCACTTCCTATAGCTGACAAAATAAGACAGAATTCCTTGCACTCCAAGGTCCCTCTGCTCTGGGCACGGCTCACCTTTCCAATTAAATTCTGGATTGAATTTTTCACAAACTCTGTACAACTGCTAAGCTGAACTACAACTTCCCTCCCAAAGATATTCTTGATTTCCTGAGCTTGCCTCATGCTGAATTCTGTGACTCAAAACTCTTCCTTTTGGTGACAGCTACATATCTAAGTGTTCACCTTCCTTAAAAACCACTCAGCTCAAACACACCTCGTTCACAAATTCTCAATCTACCACCCAACCTAGAAATAATATCTCTACCCTCTGAAATCCTTCTTTTGATCTTTATGCCCAAAATGCCTTGAGGAATAGTTTTGGGAGTTTAAAATTCATAACAGGCTTGAGATATAATACACATACCATAAAATTCATCTTTTAAACTGTACAGCTCAGTGGTTTTTAGCATATGAACAGTTTTGCAACCATCATCACTATCTAATTTCAGAACATTTTCATCACCCCCAAAAGAAACCCAGCAATTAGTCCTCATTCTCCCCTCTTCTCAGACACTGGCAACCACTAATCTACTTTGTTTCTCTTGTTTTATCTATTCTGCTTATTTACTATAAATGAAACCACAAATGACTGGCTTCACTTAGCATATTTTCATCCACATTGTATCATATGTCAGTATTTCATTCCTCTTTACTGCCAAATAATATTTAATTGTGTCACTATACCACATTTATTTAGCAATTCATCAGTAGGTGTGCATTTCTCTTGGGAATATACGTGGGCGCAGAATTACTGGGTCATATGACTGTTTAACGTTTTGAGGAACTGCCAACTTGTTTTCCAAAGTGACCATATCATATTAAAATCTTGGCCAGGCGTAGTGGCTCACACCTGAATCCCAGCACTTGGGAAGCTGAGGCAGCCAGACCACAACGTCAGGAGTTTGAGACCAGCCTGGCAAACATGGTGAAACCTCATCTCTAGTAAAAATACAAAAATTAGCCGGGTGTTGTGGTACGTGCCTGTAATCCCAGCTACTCAGGAGGTGGAGGCAGGAGAATTGCTTGAACCCGGGAGGCAGAGGTTGCAGTGAGCCGTGATAACGCCATTGCACTCCAGCCTGGATGACAGAGCAAGACTCCATCTTGGGAGCAGGGGGAAAAAAAATCTCACCAGCCAAGTGTGAGGGCTCCAATTTCTTCACTTCCTTGTCAACACTTGTTATTATCTCTTGTAGATTATATGTGAATATGAAACAGCATCTAACTATGGTTTTGACTTGCATTTCTCTAATGACTGGTAATGTCAAGCATCTTTCCATGTGCTTCTTGACCATTTGTGTATCTTCTTTGGAGAAATGTCTATTCAAATCATTTGCCAAGTTTTAAACATTTTTTAAATTGCTGAATTGTAAGTTTGTTACACATTCTGGATAAAGGTTTCTTACCAAATATATCATCTGCAAAAATATTCTCCCATTCTGTTTTTTTTTCTGTTCATTTGTTTGATACAGCATCTTGCCCTGTTCTCCAAGCTGGAGTGCAGCAGTGTGATCTCGGCTCACTCTAGCCTTGAACTCCTGAGCTCAAGTGATCCTCAGCCTCTCCAGTAGCTGCGACTACAGGCACACACCACCACACTCAGCTAATTCTTTTGATTTTTTTGGAGACAGAGGTCTCGGTATGTCATCCAGACTGGTCTTGGAGTCCTGGCTCAAGCAATCCTTCCACCTTGGCCTCCCAAAGCATTAGGATTTCAGGCATGAGCCACCATGTCCAGCCTTTTTTTTTTTTTCCTTCTCTTGAAGCACAACAGTTTATTTTAGTGAAGTCCTACTTACCATTTTTTCTTACATTGATTGGTCTTTTGGCATCTTACATAAGAAACCATTGTCTAACCCAAGGTCATAAAGATTTATGATATTTTCTTCTAGGAATTTTTACAGTTTTAGCTCTCACATGATGTCTATGATCTATTTTGAGTTAATTTTTTAATATGGTATGAAATAAAGGTCTAAATTCATTCTTTCGCATGTGGAATCCTGTTGTCTCCGTACTATTTGTTG